ACACATACATATAATCCATACACCACACACACATACACAAACACACACACATACACAAATACACACACATACACAAACATATACTCCATACACCACACACACATACATACATATACTCCATACACCACACACATATGCACACATACATATACTCCACATACACATATACACACACATGTTCCATATACCACACATATATACTCCATACATCACACATACACATACATATAATCCATACACCACACACATATGTATACGCCATACACACAGAGAGATACAAATAACACATACACATACAGATGCAGACACATCTTCACGCATACACATACTTCATACACCACACACACACATGCACAGATATATATAGTACATATACTACGTACACTACATACACATACATGCATACAAATATATACATACACAAGCATATACTCCATATACCACATATACACAGATACATACGCATACATATACACACATGAACAGGAAATGACGAAGCAATACAACTTCTAGAGTCCCTCTCTACACTTGTTGGGTCAAGATCCTCATCCATGAGTGGCATCTGGCAAGACTTAGGGAGATTTGGATTCTCCTTCTCCTGAGAGCCCTACTACAGAGGACTGGCTTGGTGTGCTGTATGTTAGTCGAGCAAGTCCTGCAGTGTGGCAGAGTAATATCCTCCCCACCTACCCACTCCACCCCAGGTCTGTGTCCATCACTTCCCCTGGGTAGCCTTCTGAGCTCCCTTTGGGTTACCCATTTAGAAAGTTCAGTTGGAAGCCCCCTGCTCAATTCTCCCTGGTTGTTTGCAAGTCACATAAGAACTGACACCTAAAGGGGTCATGCTACAGAGAGATTTTGGATAACTCCTTCTGCACCTAACAGAAGGGGGTCGAGCTTCTGCTTTCCCCTAAGCTCCACCCACACCCCGCCCTCAAACGTGATGGGTCCTAGGATCCCAGAGGCTCAGCAGCTGCTCTCCTTTGCATATAGATACATTGTTTTCAATGCCACCTTCAGTACACTCAGCTTCCATGCCCTCTGCTGAAGGCCTTGCAGCTTACATGTGCCTAAGCCCATGCAAAGTTTTCTTGTACATGAACTGATTCAGTCATCTTCAAGACGCTAGTGGTGGCCTCTCCAGCACCCCCATTCCCAGAGCAGTGAATGCTATGCTGCTATTGCAGGACAGTAACCACTGGCTGGGACAGAGAAACCAGGCACCCCTTTGTCAGTATCCCAAGAACGATGTCACTATTCACAATCACAGACCTTTGCTAGAGTGAAGCGTTCAGCACTGTTAGAGTTTAAAATATTTTGGAAGCCACAGCAACATAATTCCGGAACTTGTAAGTGGAGTGAATGGAGTAGACACCTTTAATTTTAGAGCAACAGTTTCAAAAGATAAAATTGTTACAAAGAAGCCCTGCAGGCACCGTGAAGACACCTTGGGCTGGGGACATAGGAGGGACTGTGCTGCAAAGCAGATGAACAACGATACTGAGGAAATGAAAAATGGTCGTGGAATCAAGGCTGATGCTTGAGGGAGCAAACATCAGGAAAGGGATGGCGCCAGATTGGCACTGCCAGGAGGTGTCTGTACCCCCAGTTGCAGGCTCAACCACCCTGCCAGCCCATCTTATTTCTTGAGAGAGGGTCCCTTAGTGGCCTGGAACTTGCCAAGAAGACTTGGGTGTCTAGTGAGCCCCAGAGATCTGCCTGTCTCCATCTTCCCCAGCACTGGGGTTACAAGCCAGTGCTACTACATCCAGCTTTTTCACCTAGTGTCTAGGAGTCAAACTTGAGTCTTTATGCTGTGTAATAAGCACTTTCTCAACTGAGCCATCTCCCAGCCTGTTTTGACTCTTATAGTTTTTTGATGATGTGAAAGGAGACAAGGACAATTTTTTTTAAATATTGCAAATAATATTTTTGTGGCAATGTATTTAAAGATACATTGTGACAAGATATACAGCTGGGGCTGCAGCTTAGAGACAGAGAGCCTGTCCCTGGTGTGTGTGTGTGTGTGTGTGTGTGTGTGTGTGTGTGTGTGTGTGTGTGAGATCATGTCATGTGATGCAATTCAGGTGAATGCCACCAGATGCACCAAGGTTTCATCCCCAGGACCCAAAATAAACAAATAAATAAAGCTATTAAAGGTACAAACACATCAATTGAGGTCCCAGAGGAAATGTTTGCAAACTATTCGAGATTCCATGCATTTTGGGGTTAAATGGGACTGTCTTGCCAGCGACACACCACTCACATGCAGGAGAAATGGAAAAGCCTAGAGGAACTCAGCAGGCCTGGAGATAGGGAATGTGATGCCAAGATACCAAGGGGTATATCAGTTTACAACATGCACTGACCTGAGGGCAAAATCAAGCAACAGAGGTGTCACAGCTCATAGACACAGGTGAGGCACACTCTTGTCCTCAGTCCCAAACTGAGGTTGATACAACCAGGCAGATCCTATTTACAGCTAGCCAACATAAGCTTTGTTCTTTTATATCAAGAGCTTTCAAAGTGTTATCATCCTCTGCCTGCTGGGACACTTGAGAATGAAAGAGGCTGTATGACCATCAGGATTGTAATGGAATTGTCCTAGGTAATCAAGGATGCATGGGGTTAAACACGGCTACCTGAACTGTGGATTGTGGCCCCGTAAGACATCATGTAACTGTGGGGGTTGAGAAAATTTAGTCCTGGTCAAAGGTTTCTAAATGTGCAGTGGCAAAAATAATTACTTCAAAATCATATTTATACGGAACCTGGCCATTTCTTCGAGTCCTTTCCACAGCCCCATCGAATGGATTGGCTCTGACCACATAGGATGCCTACTATGCGCATGGTCATGGCACATGACACCCACAAATCCAGCCTGAACCACCTTGGCTGTATTTCAAACGTTTGCAATGTCTGTTATAAACTGCCATGTTTTTTACTGTATTTTAGTTTCTGCTCTTACAGAAGCATGAAGCTGAGTTATGAGTAATAAAGATGGGATTTTATTAGGAAATTTAATTCTTAAAATTGGGGTTTCAGGACTGGAGGTATCTCTCAGAAATTAAATACTCTTGCTGCTCTTAAAGGGAACCTAGGCTCAGTTCCCAGCAGTTACACAGCAGCTCAGAACCACCAGTAATTCCAGTCCCAGGGCACCCACATTGTTTTCTGTCCTCTATAGCTCCTGCACACACCCGTGGTGCACATACAGGCAAGCAGGCACACACATATGCATACATATAATTCTTTTCAAATTGTGATTTAGTTGCTGACTTAAGTGTCATTTTTAAAAATCATTAAAGGTTTTGACTTGAGATAGTACAAATTTCCAATGATTTCTGAAATGACCCTACGTATACTTCTGCCATTTTGTACTACGTATTTATCCAAAGCAATGGTCTCAGAATTGATGATTATAAGATTGATGTTTTTTGTTGTTGCTGCTGTTGCTGAGACAGACACTCTGTGTAGTCCTGGCTGTCCTGGAATTCACTCTGTAGACCAGGCTGGCCTCAAACTCACAGAGATCTGCCTGTGTCTGTCTCCCAAGTCCTGGGATTACAGCCATTCACCACCATGCCCAGAAAACAGTACAATTTTAAAGCAAATGTACTTATGATCTGTTACCAGTAAATGTTTGATGCTTACATCTATTTTAGATACCTGTATACCCAAACTCACAAAAATCTTTCTCAGGCATAAATGGGTCAAAGTTGGGATGAAGTTTACAGAACTCTAAATGTAGACTGAACGGTGATGGCTCCTAACCTCAGAACCTTGGGAAGACTGCCTTAGGCAAAGAGGTTTTGTGGATGTGACTCAGTTAAAGAACTTGAAGTGAGATTATACAAGACTACCTGGGTGTCTTATGAGCTCAGGGGTTTATATGGAAGGGTGGGAAGAGTGTGCCATAGGAAGATGTTCTCCTACCAGTTAGGGGGATAGAAGGAGAGGGCATGAGCCTGCAGGAGCCTCTAACAGCTGAAGAGCAAACAACTAGATTCATCCTTAAAAGCACAGAAGGACCCAAATCCTGAGGACACCATGACTCTGAGACTCCTGACCTCTAAGCTGTGAGCAAATAAACTTGTGCTTTAAAAAAAAAAAAAGTCTGTGGGGCGGTGGTGGCGCACGCCTTTAATCCCAGCACTTGGGAGGCAGAGGCAGGTAGATTTCTGAGTTTGAGAGTTCGAGGCTAGCCTGGTCTA